TACACGATACCATCCAATTTATACGATCCGACGCGATGTGAGGTGACATGATACGACCCTATCAAAAAAACTAAACCTTAAAAAATTCGATCTGACCGGATTGATCAGATCTGAAGAGACACGACGCTTCACAATTTCATCCAATTTGATCCGATCTTATCTGATCTGCGGAGATACGACCACCTCCAACAAATTGAAATCCTATTAGTATAGATCCGATCCGAGCGATCAAATCTGATCAGAAATAAATATACACGATTCCATCCGATATATATGATCCGATGCGATATGAGGTGACATGATAATACCCTATAAAAAAACCAAACCACATACAATTAGATCAGACCCGAATGATCGGATCTGAAGAGAAACCACGCTTTACGATGCCATCCGATTTGATCCGATCTTCATTGATCTGCGGGGATACGACCACATGCAGCAAAATGAAATCCGAATTCTCTAGATCCTATCCGAGCCATCTAATTTGAGCAGAAATAAATATACGCGATCCCATCCGATATATACGATCCGACGCGATGTGAGGTAACATGATACGACCCTTTAAAAAAACAAAACCCTATACACTTAGATCAGAACGGAATGATCAGATCTGAAGAGACACGACACTTTACGATTCCATCCGATTTGATCCGCTCTTATCTGATCTGCGAAGATACGACCAAATCCGAACTAATGAAATCCAACTTGGGTAGATCCGATACAAGCGATCAAATCTGAGCAGAAATAAATATACACTATCCCATCCAATTTTTACGACCCTACGCGATCGGAGGTGGCATGATACGACTTTATCAAAAAGCGAAACCCTATACACTTACATTAGACCAGAATGATCAAATCTGAAGAGACACGACGCTTCACGATTTCATCCGATTTGATCCGATCTTCTCTGATCTTAGAGGATACGAGCACATAAAGCACAATGAAATACAATATCTGTAGATCCGATCCGAGCTATCAAATCTGAGCACAAATAAATATACACATGATACGACCCTATCAAAAACGAAACCCTATACAATTAGATCAGACCCGAATGATCAGATCTGAAGAGAAACTACGCTTTACGATTCCATCCGATTTGATCCGATCTTCTCTAATCTGCGGGGATACGACCACATGCGGCAAAATGAAATCCAATTTCTCTAGATTCGATACGAGCCATCAAATTTTAGCAGAAATTAATATACACGATCCCATCCGATATATACGATCCGACGCGATGTGAGGTAATATGATACGACCCTTTAAAAAAACTAAACCTTATACACTTAGATCAGAATGAAATGATCAGATCTGAAGAGATACGAAACTTCACGATACCATCCAATTTGATTCGCTCTTATGTGATCTGCGGGGATATGACCAAATCCGAAAAATGAAATCCTATTCGGGTAGATCCAATTCGAGCGATCAAATCTGAGCATAAATAAATATACACGATCCCATCTGATTTATACGATCCGACTCGATCTGAGGTGGTATGATACGACCTTATCAAAAAACGAAACCCTATACACTTAGATTAGACCGGAATGATCAAATCTGAAGAGACACGACGCTTAACGATTCCATCCGATTTGATCGGATCTTTTATGATCTGAGGGGATACGAGCACATGAGGCAAAATGAAATCCAATTTCTGTAGATCCGATCCGAGCCATCAAATCTGAGCACAAATAAATATACACATGATACGACTCTATCAAGAACGAAACCCTATACAATTAGATCAGACCCGAATAATCAGATCTGAAGAGAAACCACGCTTTACGATGCCATCCGATTTGATACGATCTTATCTGATCTGCGGAGATACGACCGTATCCGACAAAATGAAATCCAATTTCTCTAGATTCGAAACGATCCATCAAATTTTAGCAGAAATAAATATACACGATCCCATCTTACATAATGCACACCAACCAGATGAGAACTGATCTGAGCAGACGCGATGTGAGGTGATATGTTAAGACTCGATCAAAAAACGAAACCCTATAAAATTAGATCAGACCGGAATGATCAGTTCTGAAGAGACACGACGCTTCACGATTCTATCCGATTTGATCCGATCTTATCTGATCTGCGGAGACACAAAAACATCCAACAAATTGAAATCCTTTTCGTGTAGATCCGAACCGAGCTATCAAATCCGAGCATAAATAAATATACACGATCCCATCCGATTTATACGATCCGACTCGATCTGAGGTGGCATGATACTACCCTATCAAAAAACCAAACCCTATACGATTAGATCAAACCGGAATGATCAGATCTGACGAGACACGATGCTTTACGATTCCATCCGATTTGATCCAAACTTATGTGATCTGCGGAGATTCGAAGACATCCGACAAAACAAAATCCTATTCGTGTAGATACGATCAGAGCGTTCAAATCTGAGCAGAAATAAATATACACAATCCCATTCAATTTTTACGACCCGACGCGATCTGAGGTGGCATGATACGACCCTATCAAAAAACGAAACCCTATACAATTAAATCAGACCCGAATAATTAGATCTGAAGAGAAACGACGCTTCACGATACCATCCGATTTGATCTGATCTTATCTGATCTGCGGAGATACGACCGTATCCAAAACAAAATGAAATTTAATTGGTTCAGATCCGATCCGATCCACCCTAACTATCCGAACCGAACAAATCAGATCGGATCTCATCCGATGTGTCACGATACGACCCTATCCGTACAAATGCAACCTTATTCGTCTTGATCCGACTTGATCGATCAAATCTGAACATACACTATCCTATACGATCCAACCTTTTTACCATGCTCCATCTTATCCCTTCATAGAACCCTCGTCCTCTTACAAGCTTGCAACCAAGAGGCTTGTCGTCAAGCTAAGACACATTCTCGCATGTCGTCTGTTGTTGTCGATGAGGCTGGAGTGTGTTTCTGCTCGCCTTGATCACAAGATCGATCCGCCAGCCCATTTCAATGGCCCGAAATTTCGGCAACACACTCGACTGCACGACTCAAAGCCAAGTACTGCCTGTTTCCTCTACCTTGTCACGTGTCCTGTCGCCTTGACGACTGAGCTACCAATGTGCATGTGCATGTTCTTTATGCGATGTTCACGGCTGGCTGGCTGGGCGAGGCGGAGGGCCAGTTTTCAGCGCCGAGACGAGCGCAGCAACGGACGATGGATCACGCAGCAGAGACTGTCTCCACCGGTTGGCGTCACTCGGTCGTTGGGGTGTAGAGCGAAACCCTCCTCCCCGGCAGAGTGTATCGGGCACGCATGACCCGAGCAATCATCTTCGTTTCTGATCCTGCGAAAACTCGATAAGTCTGCCTCGTAATTGGCTTTCGCAGAGCACTTCCACCGCTTCGATAGACGTGCTTTGCTCGGCTTGACAATCTGCACTGGTACACGCTCTCCTCAACCTGCATGTAACTATGCGCCTACATCCTTGCCTCGGTTTGCTTGGCCCCAAATACGAAAATAATAATGCATACATGCTAGTGGCCGTTTATTTATGCATACATGCACTTATGTACACTTGCATGTGCGCATATCTGTGTGTGTGTGTGTGTGTGTTTGCATTGTATATACATACATGTGTGTTAGTGTGTATGTAGGTGTGCTGAACTCATCTGATATTTCGGTGATGCTTGGATCGGCCGAAGGATTCCCGAGGGTGGAGATGGTAGATTTAGTCTTCATCGGCATGAGGTAGACCTCGAGCCTGTTGGATCCTCTTGACTCCGCAGAAGGGCTGATGAGAGGCATGGAATAGAATTGGCTTCTTCGCTTTGGTACCAATTGGTCCTGTTGTCAAGGCGATCTCGACGAATATGCCTCGTCCAGCCTCTTCTGTCATAATAGCCCCGTAAAGTTCCATTCAAGGACTATGAACTATTATTATGTCAACTTTGATGGACGACGCCGAAAGTTCTTTACAAGGCATGATCATGTCACGACAACCAGGCCAGACCAGTTGCATTTCTGAAGGGAGACTGCGACCAAAATGGAAGTGACAGCGTCTGCGTCTTCAGATTTTGAAACTGGTCTAGGAAATGGAGAAGGTTGGCCAGGCAAGGTGATTTGGTACCTTGTTGGTGACGCGTTGGCGGACTCGAGCTAGCCGATCATCTTCCGATTTGGAGGCGTCTGCGCAAAGAATGTCAATGACATTTCGTGAACTTTGCACAACTCGTCAGCAAGTACTGCGGATCCCGTCGATCGAGTCATTTTGGTCATCTAAAAGTGCCCATTTGGCAGTCCAAGCGGTTGACAACCGGCCATTCCGACAAGTTGGTTGTTGGCAAAAAGATGGACAGAATGTGTATGTATACTGTCGTCAATCAGTGCTGTTCCCTTGCAAGACAAGGAATTGGAGTCTCTCTCTCTCTCTCTCTCTCTCTCTCTCTCGAGGTATTGCAGCTTCTAACAGCGACATTTTTCATCCAAACAACAGCACAGTCTGAAATAAAAGTTGATATTTTGAAAGGAAATAGTCAAATAAATTGCTGAATTAGAAAAAATTGCCCTTATTTGGGGATTCGAAACTGATGGAAGAGAAAGTATTGCTTTCCCTTTTAGGCCTC